AGAAGGGGACGACGCGACCGACAGGAAGAGGACGAGGCGGACAAGAGTCAGGGGCAACGATAGTCCCCCCTATCGTTGCCCCTCAAAGAGGGAGGAGGACACAATCCCTCAACCACACACGGCCCGAATTCGTGTGCCACTTCTCGTGGAGCGGCAAAGAGGCGCGCCCGATTTGGCACACCCCTCACACGTTTCGTGGCCCCAGAGGGAGCTCCACCGAATGCCCCAGCGGCGCAGTCCGCATGGCGCACCCGCGCCCGATTTGGCACATCTCTCACACGTTGCGTGGCCCCAGAGGGAGCTCAACCTGAGGCCCCAGCGGCACAGTCCACATGGCGTACCCGCGACCGATTGGGCACACCCCTTGCACGTTTCGTGGCTCTGATCGGGAGCTCCGACGCAGGCGCTGGTGGCAGTGTCCGCATGGCGTACCCGCATCCGATTCGGCACACCCCTCACACGCTTCGTGGCCCCTTACGCAAATCCACGGGAAGTCCCAGTGGCACAGTCCGCATGGCGTACCCACGCTCGAATTCTGCACACTCTTCACACGCTTCGTGGCCCCCTAGGTATGTCCACCGAAGGCCCCGGCGGCACAGTCCGCCTGGCGTGCCCGCATCCGATTCGGCACAACCCTCACACGTTTCGTGGCCCAGCAGGGAGCTTCAGCGGAGGCCCCAACGGCACAGTCCGCATGGCGTACACGTACCCGATTCGGCGCACCCCTCACACGCTTCGTGGCCCCATGAGGGAGTTCCGCCGAAGGCACCAGCGGCACAGTCCGCATGGCGCACCCGCGCCCGATTTGGCACACCCCTCACAGGTTTCGTGGCAATATTGGGAATCCCACCGCAGGCCCAAGCGGCACAGTCCGCATGGCGTATCCGCACCCGATGCGGCACACCCATCAGTCGTGCAGTGGCCCACCGAAGGCCCCAGCGGCACAGTCCGCATGGCGCACCCGCGCCCCATTTGGCACACCCCTCACACGTTTCGTGGCCCCAGAGGGAGCTCATCATTCGTGTTGTGGCCCCACAGGGTGCTCCCGGAAGGCTCCAGAGGCACAGTGCGCATGCCATACCCGCACCCGATTCGGCGCACCCTCACACGTTTCGTGTCCCCATGGGGGTTCCACCGAAGGCCCCAGCGGCACAGTCCGCATGGCGTACCCGCGCCCGATCCGGCACACACCCCACACGTTTCGCTGCCCCGTAGGGAATCCCACCAACGGCCCCATCGGCACAGTCCGCATGGCGTACACACGTTTCGTGGCCCCATAGGGAACTCCACCGAAAGCCTTAATGGCACAGTCCGCATGGCGTACCCGCGCCAGATTCGGCGCACCCCTTACACGTTTCGTGGCCCCAGAAGGGGAGCTCCACCGAAGGCCCCAACGACAGAGTCCGCGTGGCGAACCCCCGCCCGATCTGGCACACCCCGCACACGCTTCGTGGCCCCATGAGGGAGCTCCGACGCAGGCACTAGTGGCAGTGTCCGTATGGCGTACCCGCATCCGATTCGGCACACTCCTCACACGTTTCGTGGCCCTATTGTGAGTCCCATCGCACGCCCCATCGACACAGTCCGCATGACGTACCGGCACCCGATTCGGCACACCCTTCAGTCGTGCCATGGTCCCACAGGATGCTCCACCGAGGGCCCCAACGGCACAGTGAGCATGCACACCCACCAAACGTTTCGCGGCCACATAGAGAGCTCCACCGAAGGCCCCAGCGGCTCAGTCCGCATGGCGTACCCGCGCCCGATTTGGTACACCACTCACACGTTTCGTGGGTCTAATTTGGAGCTCCGACGCAGGCACTAGTGGCAGTGTCTGCATGGCGTACCCGCATCCGATTCGGCATAACCCTCATACGCTTCGTGTCCCCATAAGGGAGTCTCACCGACGCCCCCAGCGGCACAGTCCGCATGGCGTACCCGCACCCGATCTGGCACACCCTTCACACGTGTCGTGGCCCCGCAAGAAGTTCCACTGCACGCGGCTCCCCGCGCACACTCCTCACATGCTTCGTGGCCCTAATTTGGAACACCACCGAAGACAATCCTCAGAACTGCGGTTGGGCCGTCTTTGGGCCCTCTTAAGAGCCACTTGAGCCGTCTTGTGGCGATCTTGGATGCCTCTGGGGCCGAATTGCGCGGTCGTAGGCTCGAAAAGGCGAGACCGTAAAACCGATCGAACACCTTTCGGAGAAAGTCAATGAATTTGGGCATCTGGGGCTCTCTTGGGGGCCATCATCAGGCTCTCGTGGGGCGTCTTGGGGGCCTTTTGGGCCGTCCTGCGACCAGCGTGCGCGTTCTGGAGCGGTCTTGGGCCGTTTCGGTGCTCCGCGGGACCTTCCGGGAAGCGTTCCTGGGCCTGCTTTGGCAGCTTGGGATGGCCTGTAGGGGCCCAGGGAACCGAACATTGGAATTTCTTCCCGATGGGAGCGCACAGGGCCGAATTCATGCACGGGGTGGGTCCTTATAATAATCTTCGGAAAGAAGAGTATCTAGTTTTGGAAGGAGTCTCGCCTTCTCGCCTTCTCGCCTTCCCGATGCCACATGACTGCCCCAGAAGCTTTCCCGTTCTCTCCCATACGGCCTAAGAGAGGCCCCACAGAGGACCTCAACACGGCCCAGGAGGGCTCCAAGACGGCCCAGGAGGCCCTAGGACAACCCTAAGGAGCCCAAAGGGAAGGCAGGAACGGATAATTCCAGCTTCCCGCCCCAAGATAACCGCAATAGCCTCCCGAAGGCTCCGAAGTATTATCATGTTCCAGGAGAGCCTTCCAGGAACCTGATGGTCACCACCAGTCGGAGGAGGAGCAGGAGGAGGAGGAGGAGGCGGTGGAGGATGAGGAGGAGGAGGAGGAGGAGGAGGAGGAGAAGAAGGAGAAGAAGGAGGGTTGAAATAATGAGGAGGCATCTGACGAGGAGGGAAGGGGAATCCCTACTCAGCCCCTGCTCCCTCCCTCGCTCCCTCCTTCTCTGCCTCTCCTGCCTCCCTGCTGTCCTTCCTCCCCACCTCCCTCCCCTTCCCTCTCCTCTCCCTCCTTCCTTTTCACCCTCCCGTGACCAAGTCGAAGTCGACGACGCCAAAGCCGACGCCGACGCCGACGACCCCCACGACCCCATTCCCAGTCTCGTGGCCTTCCGCGATTGCATGCCTACTTGGGATGCGGCTGAGGAGAATACTGATGAGGATGAGGGAGAGGAGGGCGAGGAGGAGGACGAGCTCCAGAGGGCCAGGACAAGGCAAGAGGGAGGGAGACGAAGGGGTCGTAGAGAGGGGCTTCTCGCCGCTGGCGCGGTGGCAAGCGCGCGGCGATCGGCCAGCCCCCCGTGGGCCTCCGAGGCGGAGCCGCCTGCAGCGCTTGATCTTGAGGCAGCGAGCCAGCGGAGCGCGCGGAGAAAAGCACGCGGGCGCTCCTCCTCCTCCTCGTCCTCCTCACCCTCCTCCCCCTCCTCCCCCTCCTCCCCTCCTCCTCCTCCCTCCTCCTCCTCCTCCTCCTCCTCCTCCTCCTCCTCCTCCTCCTCCTCCTCCTCCTCCTCCTCCTCCTCCCCCTCCTCCCCCTCCTCCTCCGCGCGCCCGCGCGCCCGCGCGCGACCGGGCGGTCGTTGGCCGGTCGTCGTCCCCGCTGCCGCCTCGGCCGCCTTCGATCCCGCTATAGCCCCTGCCTCGTTTCCGCCTCCACCGCTGCCCGTGGTCAGGACGCAGCCCTGGGAGGGGCCCAGGGAGCGGCAGTGCCGGTACTCTACTCTGGTGTCGTCCTGGGGCTCCCTGGGAGGCCTCCTGGGCCCTCGTGGGCCCACCTGGGCCTGACAGGGCGAGCGCCCGGAAGTTCTACAACCCTGATGCTCCACCTTCCACGCCTTTCGAACAGCAGGTGGCTGGTTTGGTGTGTGTGTGTGTGTGTGTTTTTCCCCGAGGGGCTAACAGCGGCGTGCGTAAGCAGAACCTTCCGGAGTCCCGCGCGGAGCTCCGAGAGCTTACGTACGCGCATGTCGTTTGTTGCCCCTCGAGAAGGTCACGGAAGCAGCCACATGCTGGCCGGAAGGTAATGGAAGGTGGAGGGCCAGGTTACCAGCCTGGAACATATCCCTATCCCTATGCTCGGCATCGCCTCATCACGATGCCAATCTTAGGGATTCCCTTATTTTTTGAGGGCGAATCCCTAAGATTGTCATCGCCTTTTGGCGTGTCAATCTTAAGGATAGGGATACGTTCGAGGCTGGTAAGGTATGGAAGGTGGAGGGTCAGGGAAAACATTCAGGCTGCTCCGGTGATCTGGGCCGCTTTTGGGGCAGCCCCCAGGGGGGCCTCCACTGGGTCTCCGGGCGAGCCTGCCCTCTCTTCGGGAAAGAGTTCGGGGAAGTGCGGCCCAGGGGGCGCCGCGCCTCTTGCATGGGATCGATCGGCCTGGCGACCGAGAAATGGAGAGAAAGAGAGAGAGAGAGAGAGGGAGAGAGGGCGAGAGAGAGAGAGGGAGAGGGAGAGAGAGAGAGAGAGAGCGAGCGAGACAGAGAGAAAGAGAGAGAAAGAGAGAGAAAGAGAGAGAGAGAGAGAGAGACAGCCAGGTCACCCGCGGGATCGCGAAGATGACCGCGCTTGGCGCGTCGCGGCCTGGGCCGAAGCAGTTGCCCTTAGCCAGGGCGGCTGGGCGAGGGCGCGGAGACGACCGCGCATCGCGGAATGGGCGCGATGCGCGGAGGTCTTGCTGCCTCGGGGCGGAGAGCGTGCCGCGGTGTGCGCGTGCCCTCCTGCCGGCGGCTCGCGCCGGGGCTCACTGAGACCGACGCGCCGTCGGCGAGAGCGAACGGGTCTTGCCCGGCGGTGCCTCCTCCGGCTCCGCCCATCGTCGCCGGCTCGGCAGGCGCCCCCCCCCCCCCGCGCGCGCCACCTTCGGCCCCGAGGCCAAGGCCACAGCAGTCGTCGTGTGCAGGCGTCCGCCCCCCGAGTGCCCCCGCGTCCCCCGGCGTGGCACCGCGTCCGTGCGCGCAGCCTTTTTGCTGCTTGGGCCAAGGTCGCTCTTTTTTTGTGTTCCCACAGGCGCGCCCCGGGTAGGGCTGGGACGATCAGTCCCCCTTCCGCCCTGGGTCTGCTATGGAAGAGCGTGCCTGCATGCCATCGCCAGTGCCCAGGCCAAAGAACTCGCCGCAGCTGGCTGCGGCCTTGGAGGACGCAGGCGAGGTCTGTCGGGGTGCGACAGTGGATCGTGGGTCGGGAACATGCATCGCTCATTCGAGGATCGCCGATCTGGCTTCACGCGATCGGACGGGCTGCTGGTGAGCAGCTGCTCCCACGTTTCGTGGTGGTCTGGGCTGGGTCGGGGTCGACCAGTTGGCTCGATCAGGATCACAGCCTCGGCGTGGGGTGGACTGGATCGGGAGCGGTGCTTCCGAGGCCAAGACGAAGATGTGCAAATTCTTCAGCACGGGCACATGCAAGCGCGGCGCTGCCCCCAGCGCGTGCAGGGTCATGTGACCCGCGATTGCAGCTCGCCCAGTGTTGACTGAGCCGCTTCGAATTGTGTGGTCTGGGCGTGCCTGCTTCGCCGAGACTCTGTTCATGATATGTGCCTTCGCATTTTCTGCGGGCTGACCGCTGACATATGGAAAGTTGTGCAAAGGGGGGGAGGGGATTGGGAATCTCAGGAATACGGCAAAGGGGGCGCAGACGATGTGAATGGAAGTGACAGCAACAGCGGGGGTGTTGATGGCATCGGCAGTGCCTCATGGAACAAAAGCAGCTGCAACGATGGAAATACAAACGGAACTAACAACGGCGCCAGCAGTAACAGAGGGATCATACCCGTGTGACAAGTGGAACAGTAGTGGCGTTGACCGCGGTAGCAGCGGCAGCAGCGGGGAGCAACGTGATCGACATCAGCAGGGGCAGTAGATCAGCAGTGCGAGGTGGTCCGAACCTCAGCGATACCATTAGCATGTGCAATTGCGTTGGGTACGATCGAGTTGGTACATGAGATAGTTCAGCTTGGGGGGTTGGACCGGGATGAACTCCTATTCAATGGCCGTGATACTTTCTCTTCCTTACGATGCCATATCTTACACACTCGTGTCCTCTCGTTCTACACGTCTTTCTGGATGTCAAGCACCGAGAGAACGTGACTCCCACCGTGAATGTCCGACGGCGGCACTGAGGCGCTGAGTGCTCATTCGCGCACACGCATGACGAGGTGCAGCAGAAGCCGGACCTCACGCGCACATCTCTTTGCCAAGTGTTCTTGCGGATGGGCACGTGCGACAAGCCCAATTGTGCCTACGCGCACGGGAAGCACGAGCTCCGGTCCACAGCGGATTTCTTCAAGATGAAGATTTGCCGCTTTGCGCGCGATAGCACTTGTCAGAAGG